CTTGCAATGTCTTTGTATCGAGAGAACATTGGCATCACCAAATGAGTTGAGAACTATTCCCTTTTCCATTTTTGAAGGGATTTCTATAAGATTGGGGTTATTTCTTATTCTAATCATATTTTTTCATCAGTTTTGGTAATTTGTGTCTTTCAAGTAGTTTATCCATTTGATCTAAGTCATTGAATTTACTAATATAAAGCTGCATCTAGAATTCCATTATACTTACGGTCTCTGGTACTGCACGTTAAGAAACTTGGAAGTCAACACTTACTCCATCCTAACAACAAGTCAAAATCTGAACATACTGAACAATTAGCAACCATTCTTAAGATCCGTAAGAGAAGTGAAGTAACAGGGCAAACTGTGGCCCCTAAAAGTGTAAAGGCAGACAGGCAAGTAGAGAGAATCACAGGTTACTAGATCAGATACCTGTAAGCAGAAACTTCTATAGAAACTAGTCCTGGGATAAGAAAATCTCTGTCGCTGGAGGCTACGTATGTACTGAGAGTCAAAACTACATTGAATGTCACAGAAAAATCCCATCACGTTTCTGCTTCCAGGAAGGGGATAGGGAGCCATTTTTATATACCAGACTATTCTGTTCTTAAAAAGTGTCTGCCCTCAGACAAAACTGTTTAATCAGAGCCTAATCTGCTGGTGTTTTAGCAAAAATTAAGGGACTCGAGGGAAGGGAAATACATTTCCTTTAATTTTCCATGTGAAGGAAGGGAGGGAGAAGGGAAATACCCAACTCCAACTTCTCTTGCCTTTCTGTCCAACCTGAAGGGACAAAGGAGACTGAGAGGCACCTGTGAAGTTTATAGTAAAGAGGCACAATAGAAGTATAATAAAAGACTGAGACATAATCATGGGAAAAGAGAATACTCTCCCTATTCCTTACTACCATATTACTAAAGGCCTATTTATAACAGTTCCATATACCTAGTCTAGCTGTCAAGTAAAAATATAAGGCTTACTAAAAGATAAAATATGGTTTGAAGAGATAGAGCAAGCATCAGAATTAGAGCCAGGGATGTTGGGATTATTACACTGGGAATTTAAATCAAGTATGATAAATATACTAAGTGCTCTAATGGATAAAGTAGACTGTGAAGAAGAGTTGGACAATTTAAACAGATGAAAATTCTAAGAGAGACACAAAAAAAATGCTAGAGATTAAAAACTACAGTAGAAATGAAGAGTACCTTTGATGGGCTTCTTAGCACACTGGACATGACTGAAGAAAGAATCTCTGAGCTTGAGAATATTGCAAAAGAAACTTCTGCCCCAGGGTACCTGTGTGGCCTCAATCGGTTAAACATTGGACTCTTGATTTTAGCTCAGATCATGATCTCAGAGTCCTGGGATCAGCACTGCATCAGGCTCTGTGCTGAGCAGCTTAAGGATTCTTTTTCTCCTCTCTCTTTGCCCCTCCCTTCCCCTCCCACTCTTGCAAATGCATGTTTGCTCTCTCTCTTTCTCAAAGAAATAAATCTTTTTTTTTTTTAAGTAGTTTCCCTCCCTCCCCCAAACCCTGAAATAGACTCACAAATACAGAGAACAAACGGATGGTTGCCAAAGGGTACAGGGAGGGGGAGAGAGAGGAGTGAAATAGGTGAAGGGGACAAAAACGTAATATCTAAGAACTGTGGGACAGCTGCAAGACATTTAACATATGTAATGAGAATACCTGAAGGAGAAGGTAGGCAGAAGGAAGAAAAGCAGTATTTGAAGCAATGTTGGCTGAGAATTTCTCCAAATTAATTTCAGACACCAAACTACAGATCCAGGAGATTCAGAGAATACCAATAATGATAAATGACCTCCCCCAAAAAACCCAGATGATACATTAGCATATCATATTCAAGTTGCAGAAAAACAGAGATAAAAAGAATCTTGAAAGAAGACAGAGTTTTAAAAAATGACATACTTACAGAGGACCAAAGAAAGAACTATATCTAGTGTCTTCTCAAAAAGTATGCACACAAGTTCATCTGGAGCATTCACTAAGGTAGACCGCATCTGAGGCTGCAAAACATCTTAATGAATTTAAAAGAATAGAAATCATACAGTGACTGTTCTCAGACCATATAAAATTACTGTGGAAAACATTAATAGACTACTGAAAAATCCCCAAATGCTTGGTGATTTGAGAAAACACCTTTTTTTTATAAAAAAGGTTTTATTTATTTATTTGAGAAAGAGACAGAAATAGCAACAGAGAGCATGAGCTGGGAGGAAAGAGATAAACAGGCCCTCCTCTGAGCGGGTAAGCCCAGTGTAGGTCTTGATCCCAAGACCCTGGAATTATGACCTGAGCCAAAGGCACACACTTAATTAACTGAGCCACCCAGGTGCCCCAAGAAAACACTTTTAATTAACACATTGGTTAAAGAAGAAATCTCAAGAGAAATTTAAAAAATTATTTTGACCTAAATGAAAATGAAAACATAAGTTATTAAGATTTGTGGGATGCAATGATAGCAGTACTTAGAATTAAATTTATATATTAGAAAAGAAGAAAGATCTAAAATCAGTCATCTAAGATTTCACCTTAGGAAACTAGTAAAAGAAAAAATTAAGTCTGAAATAAGCAGAACAAAAGAAAAAAAGTTATAGCAGAAATTAATGAAATTGAAAAGAAGAAGTCAGTAAGGAAAATCAGCAATACTGACATCAATAATACTGGTTCTTTGAAAGATAAAATTGATAAGCTTTTAGTCAGGCTAAGAAAAAAAGTCACAAATAAATATCAGAAACGAAAGATGGAAACATCCCAGAGACCTTAAAAGGATAATAAATATTATGAATATCTCTTTGTTCACAAATTTGATAACCTAGGTGAAAAGACATAATTTGCCACAACTCACACAAAGAAATGGACAATTTAAATAAGGCTTATATCTATTGAAGAAGTTGAATCAATAATTAATACACTTCTAAAACAAAATACCAGACCCAGATAGGCTCATTGGTGAAGTCTACCAACATTGAAGGGAGAAATTATACTAGTTCTTTATGGTGTCTTTCAGAGAATAGAAGTAGAAAGAATACTTCTTAACTCATTCTGTGATGCCACTATTACTTTAATATTAAAACCAGACAAAGATTTAGATATTAGGATCCTGACAAGAAAACTACGATGACAAATCTTTCTTGTGGGTATATCCAAAAATCCTCAAAATAATTTTAGCAAATTAAATCCAACAATGGTGTATATCCCAACTATGACCAAGTGAGATATATCTCAGATACTCAAGACTGGTTCGAGTAATATAATCCATCATCTCCATAAGGCTAAAGAAAAATCACATGATCATATCAATAGATGCAGAAAAAACTTACAAACAAGAAAACTTATAAAACAAAACCCAACACATAATCACAACAAAAACTCTCCATAAACTAGGAGTAGAAGGGAACTTCCTCAACTTTTTAGAGTATCTACAATATATATATATATATACAACTGATATGATACTTAGTGGGAAAAGCCAGAAGCTTTCCCATTAAGATCAGGAACAAGCCAAGGGTCCCCCTCACCTCTCATTTTTCACATTGTAGTGGAAGCCCCAGCTAATGCAAGAAAACAAGACAAAGAAATAAAAAGTGTCCTTGGAATGATGGGGAAGAAACAAAACTGTCCTTGTTTGCAGATGACATGATTATCTACATAGGAAGTTTGAAAAATTGACAAAAAAATCTTGGAACTAATAATTATATTAAAGTTTCAAGATACAAGGTTAATACACAATGGTCAATTATTTTTCTATATATTGGCAGTGAATACAGCATTTGAAATAAAAACAAAACAAAACAGTTTAAATGCTTAGGTATAAATCTAACAAAATATGTATATTAGATACATACATAACAAAATTAAATGCTTAGGTATAAATCTAACAAAATATGTATAAGTTCTGTATAGGAAAACTATAAAACCCTATTAAAAGAGAAAAATGGTAGTTGTACATCTGAGACTAATTTAACATTGTGTGTCAATTATACTCAATTTTTTTAAAAGTAAGAAATGGAGAAATAATATTTCATGTTTATAAATGCAGTGACTTGATATTGTCAACATGTCAGTTCTTCTCAAATTGATCTACAGATTTAATGCAACCCCAGTCAAAATCCCAGCAAGTTATATTGGCAAAGTGATTCTAAAGTTTATATGGAGAGGCAAAGAGCCAGAATAGTCAACACACTATTGAAAGAGAAGAACAAAGTTGGAGGACTGACACTACCAGACTTCAGAACTTACTGTAAAGCTATAGTAATTAAGACAGTAAGATATTAGCAAAAGAATTGACAAATAGATCAATGCAAAGAATAGAAGCCCAGAAATAGACTCTCATAAATATAATCAACTAACCTGTGACAAAGGAATGAAGATGATAAATGTAGGAAAGATAGTCTTTTCAACAAATGATGTTGAACAACTGGATATCTACAAGCTTAAAATGAATCAAGACACTAACTTTACACTTTTCACAAAAATTAACTAAAAATTGACCATAGACCTAAATGTAAAGCTCAAAACCATAAAATGCCTAGAAGATAACATAATGAAAAAATCTAGATGACCTTCAGCTTGGTGATGACTTTTTAATTACAATACCAAAGGCATGATCCTTGAAAGAAGAATTGATAAACTGAACTTCTTTAAAATGAAAAACTAAGGACACCTGGGTGGCTCAGCGCTCGAGCACCTGCCCCTGGCTCAGGGTGTGATCCGTGGTCTCAGGATCGAGTCCCACATTGGGTTGCCTGTCCGGAGCCTGTTTCTCCCTCTGCCTATGTCTTTGCCTTTCTCTTTCTGTGTCTTTCGTGAATAAATAAATAAAATCTTTAAAAAAAAAAAGAAAAACTATTATATGAAAGATACCATCAAGAGAATGAAAAGACAAGCCCTGGATTGGGGGGAAAACATTTGCTGAAGAATATTGGATTAATGAGTGTTATCCAAAATATATAAATATCTTTTAACTCTACAATAGGAAAATGAAAACTCCAAGTAAAAATGCCAAAGACCTTAACAGACATCTCACCAAGACAATGAACATCTCAAATAAGCATGTGACAATATATTCCATATCATATGTCATTAGGTAAGTGCAAATTTAAAACAAGATACCACTACCTACTTACTAGAATGGCCAAACATCCAGAACACCGACAATACCAAATACTGGCGAGGATATGGAGAAACAGGGACTCTCGTTCTTGATGGTGGGAATGTACAGTGATATAGCACTTTTGGATGACAATTTGGTAGTTTCTTACAAAAGCAACCATAATTCTACCATACTGACCAACAGTCACATTCCTCTGTATTCTCAAAGGAGAGAAAAAGTATGACCACACAAAAACCTGCACATGGATATTTAAAGCAACTTTATTCGTATTTGCCAAAACTTAAGCAACTAAGGTATCTTGCAGCAGGTGAATGGATAAAATAAATTTGGCTATATCCAGACAATAGGATAGTATTCAGCAGTTAGAAGAAATGAGCTATGTATGATATCATGAAAAGACATGGAGATACATTAAATACATAACACTGAGTGAAGGAAGCCAATCTAAAAAGGCTACATACTGTATTATTCCAACTACAGATCTTCCTGATGATGGGGTTATGCCCTGAAAAGCCCATTGTAAATAGAAAATATTATTAAACATGCATTTAATACACCTAACCTACCAAACATTATAGCTTAGCCTACTCTACCTTAAATGTTCTCAAAACACATACATTATTCTACAGTTGAGCAAAATAATCTAACACAAAGCCTATTTTATAATACAGCGTTGAGTTTATTGGATATAGTAGTGAATGTGAAAAAGAGTAGTATAGTTGGTATAGAATGGTTTAAAGTATATTGGGTGTTTACCCTTTTGATCTTGTGGATGACTGGGAGCTGTTGCTCACTGCTCCTGCCCAGTATTCTGAGAGGACCATACCATGTATCACCAGCAGGATCTCTGAAAAAGATCCAAATTCAAAACGAGGAATATAGTTTCTATTGATTATGTATCATTTTTACACTCTGGTAAGGTCAAAAAATAGTAAGTCAATCCAGTGTCAGTGACAGTCTGGAAAAGGCAAACCTGTAAAGACAGTAAAAAGATGTGTTTTCATCCCCTTTTTCATTCCTGAGAATTATAATTATTCTTTGATCATTCTGACCAGGAATTTATCAATTTTATTAATCTTTTCAAGAATGAGTTTTTGCTGTCATTGACTTTTCTTCATTTTTTTCTATTTCACTTACTTATATTTTTAAATGATTTTTATTTTTAAGATATCTTATAAATACCACATATTTATATTATTTACTTACGTTTTTAATTATCTTTTCCCATGTTTACTTGGTATTTTGTTTTTCCACCTGGATTCCTAAGGTAAAAACTTAAGATTACTGATTTGAAACCTGACTCCTTTTATAATATATGCAATTATGGCTATAAGTTTCTAAGTTATGTCCCACATATTTTATACGTTGTGTTTTCTTTTTCAGTTCAAAATATTTTCCAATTTTACTTCACAAACTCATTGCCCCATTGGTTGCTTAAAGTATGCTTCTGAATTTCCAGATAATTGGGAACTTTCCACATATCTTTTTGTCTTGGTATTTAATTTCCTGTGATAAAAGAAGATACTGTGCATATTTTCAGTTCCTTTAAATTTATCAAGACTTGTCATATGCCCAGCATCAGGTTTGTGTTGGCCAGTGTTGCATGTTTGCTTGAAAAGTATGTATATATTGCTTGTGATAATTGTAGTTTCTGTAATGTCAGTTGGGTCTGGTTGGGTGATAGTGCTTTAAAATCTTTCACATTGTATCTTTAATATTGTCTATTTCATATTGTGTCAGTTACATAAAGAAGAATATTATTCTTTATAATCCGATTATTTCACACTTATACCTCACACTTCAGTATTTTCCAGTTTTGCTTCTGGTTTTTTTTTTTATGATTTTATCCATTTATTCATGAGAGACACAGAGAGAGGCACACACACAGGCAGAGGGAGAGGCAGGCTCCATGCAGGGAGCCTGATGTGGGACTCGATCCCAGGTCTCCAGGATCACGCCGCTGAAGGCGGCGCTAAACTACTGAGCCACCTGGGCTACCCTGCTTCCGATTTTGAAGCTTTGTTGCTAACTACATACAAATTTAGTATTATTTTATCTACTTGAAAATTTATCCCATTATCATTATAAAGTGCCCTTCTTTGCTTTTGGTGATATTTCTTATGGTGAGGTCTACTTTATCTAATATTAGTATCACCATTTCCACTTAGTATTTTCAAGGTAAGTCTTTTCCCATTCTTTTAGTTTTAACTTTATATCTTCATCTCTTTATATATTTTTGTGCACCTCTTATAATTGTCATATGTGAGTCTTCCTTTTCTGTGTTTTCTGACAGTGTCTATTATTTGCAGTTTATAATTTACATTTACTGAAATTACTGGTGTGGTTGTTTTTTTTAAGTGGACTATTTCACTGTCATCTGTTCATCTGTTGTTTGTTCCTGTTTTTCTTTTTCCCTTTCTGCCTCCTTTTGGATTACTTTTTTTAGTATTCCATTTTCTGTCCTTTATTAATTTAGTATTTCTACTACTTTATTTTTAGTGTTTGCTTCATTTAAGATGTATAACCTTAAACTATCACAGGATAACTTTATAAAATATTAAGCCATTTTAGTATAAGTTTAGAATCTTACAGTAGTATACTTCTATCTTTTATGTAAGTACTGTCTTATATTTTACTTCCATGTGCATACTGCAAATCACACTGTAATTTTATTTTTTCTTCTAATTATTCAGTTTTCTTTTACATAATTTACAAAACCATACCCTGTCCTTTCATTTTTTTCAAATAGTTCTCAAGTTCCATCTCTTATCCTTGTTCTTCACATGGATTACTTCCTTTAACAGTTTTTATTGCGGGTCTACTGGCAGTAGATTTTCCTATCATTTGTTTGCCTGAAAATGTTTATTTGACTTTCATTTCTGATTGATGTTGAATTATGTGATAATGGTTTTGTTCTTTCAGCACTTGACAATATTGTTTTATTGTCTTATGCTTAGGTTGTCCCTGATTAAAACGCAGCACACAACCCCTGAAACTAGTAATTCACTATGTGTTAAATTAACTTGAATTTAAATAAAATCTAAAAAAAAAAAAAAGGCAGCACACATTCTAATCCTTTTTTTACTATATATAATATTTCTTGTTTTCATTTGGCTGCTTCTTAATATGTTTTTCGTATGATGGTTTTAAGCAATTTCATTATATGGTTTTCTTTGTGTTTTTCCTTGATATGGTTTTCTTTGTGTTTTTCCTGCATGGTGTTCATTACGTTTCTTGAATCTGTGAGTTTACGTTTTCTCTCAAATTTAGGAAAATTTTGGTCAATGTTTCTTCAAGCATTTTTTTTCTGTGCTGTACTATTTCTTTTTCTTTTATGGGATTTCAGTTGCATTTAAAATAGTGTTTGATGTTGTTCCACGGGTCAGTTTTTTTTCCCTCTGCATCAATTTGCTTCTGCTCTGCTTCTGTTGCTTTATTTGATGTTTTCTTTTGTTTGTCATTTACTATTAAAATTGTCCACTGAATTTTTCATTTCATGTGTTGCATTTTACATCTCTCTGAGTCTCTTTTGGTTCTTTATTATAGTTCTAATTTATCTATTTCTAATTCTGATTTGTTCTTTTTTATATTTATGGTTTCCTTTACTTCCTTTAACATATTTATGAATTTATCTGAAGTCCATCATACTTGTAATTTCTCCATCTGAAATGGTTTATTGACTGATTTTTCTCCCAAATACAAGTATATTTCCTGTTACTTATGCCTAGTAATTTTGTTGCTACTATTTTTATTTTTATCCTTTTATTGGACAGGGTGAACTCTGTGTTATTGTATCTCTGGATTTTATTGTTTCCGTTAATAGAATGTGGAATTTTATTCTGTCACACAGGTTACTTGTCTTGATTTTAAGTTTTGGGTGTGGGTTTTGAGTAACCTTTAATTCTAAATCTAGATTGGCCCTACTGCTAAATGTTTGGCCTTTGTAAAGTTGCCACTGAACGACTAGAGTGTTCCATAAATATTTATGGGACGCCTGGGTGCTCAGCAGTTGAGTGTCTGCCTTTGGCTCAGGTTGTGATCCCCAGAATCCTGGGATCGAGTCCTCCATCAGGCTCCCCTGCTTATGTCTCTGCGCCTCTCTCTCTCTCTCTCTCTCTCTCTCTCTCATGAATAAATAAATCTAAAAAAAAATTCAAAAAAATTTTGTAATAAAGCATTTGAAACTCAAACATCTCTCACCTTTTGCAAGCTCTAGTCATTGTTCAGCTTACAGTTCCTTGGTAGTTGGTCTTTCCTCTGCTGTGGGGTGGTTTTCCATGCTCATTCATAGATTAATATGGCCAAAGACTTAAGAGGATCTTTGGAGATTTCTGGGCCTTCACTGTACACTTTCCTTCTCTCTTTCTCTAAGCATAAATTCCACCTGTCTCCTTGGCTCACACTTAACGCTCTCTGTTGTGGTTACCTCTGTCCCCTCACATATAGCTGTTCGGAGGGTGCCTTCAGGCAGGAAGATGACATGATCATGGGACCTAGTTAATTTGTTTCCTTTGCTCAGGGATTACTGTAGTAGGTTACTAGTTATCTATACATGAGGAAAGTAATTCTGTATACTTTAGGAATTTTCATTGTTGTTCAAAACTGAAGGGCCAGTATGATACTAGTTAGTCTATAGTGACTGAAAACAAAATTGCCAAGTGGCATTATCAGCACTTCCCCAGTTCTTTTTTTTTTTTTTTAAGATTTTATTTATTCATTCATGACAGACACAGAGAGAAAGAGAGAGGCAGAGACACAGGCAGAGGGAGAAGCAGGCTTCATGCAGGGAGCCTGACATGGGACTCGATCTGGGTCTCCAGGATCACACCCTGGGTGAAGGTGGTGCTAAACCGCTGGACCAAAGGAGCTGCCCCCCAGTTCTTTTTGCTGCAGCCCTTACCATCATCTAAAGTCCTATTTATTTAATTATTACTTACACATCGTTTTTTCTCCCACTAGAATATAAACTTTAT